CAGAGCTCTGCTTGTGCAATTCTCAGGCACCTGCTTAAATGTCAATTCTCTAAGTCAGGATGAGACTTCTGCAGCTTTCCCTGGGCATCGGATCAGGCTGTACATCCTTTGGTAGAGGATTGGTTTTCTCCTGCCTGTATGTGAAAGCAGCTACCACCCAGCTGATAGTAACAAGAACAACTGAAATGCTGATTTGAGATTTCACTGAAGCCCCTTAGGACTGCAGGCAGAAGGTCAGGACAATCAGCACTGAAGAGTGCAGGATTGTTTGCAATTGATCCAGATTAACTGGCCTGGCACTCCCAGTGCCTATATAGCAGTGGTATTCCTGCCCAACTGCAAGGGATATAACAGAGCCTGCAGAAGTTGTGATTGTTTTTGTAACCCTATTCAATTCCCTGAATTCCTTGAGAGTAATTCATGATAGCCAGTGTACAGTTTATTTAATTTACCCTTTAGAAATGGGTCATTTCAGATTTCTGATGTCTGCCTGTCTTTGAGGCTCTGATGCTGTCATCAGACTCCATTGTGAGTGAGCAAATGTTGATGTCATACTGTGGTTTATGAGTCATATATCATGTCTACATTTTATCTTGGTTTTGTGCTGCTGCACAAACATAGTGTTGTGGGAACTCACACCATTTCAGACCTCTGAAAGTTTAATTCTCATGCACTATACTTATTTTTTTTCTTTCTGAACTGGGTCAGATGTCCCTTTTTGTAATAATTTAATTAACACTTTGGAATAATGATGCATTAATTAATGCCAGATTACAATGAAAATGCTACAGAATTACACTTTATATCAACATTAATGCAAAATGAGTTCCTCCTGGATAATATTTCTTACAGAGAATACAAAAAGAGATAATACTAATTAGGCCATCAATTTAAATTTACCATAATTTCAATCCATGTCACTTATCTGTTCTCTAGCACAAAACCTTCTGTTCTACCATACACTTTTTGCTGCATTGATATCGGTGTGGCAGCCAGACTGGGAGTAATTTCCTAATGTGCATTCTTACACATATAATACACTTCTGCACTGCAGTGCTGGGTCTGGTGTCTGCATTGTGGAGGATTGAGCTTTAAAAATCACGTATAGGCTTAAGAATGTTCTGACACAGGTCTTCTTTGGGTAGATGAACTTCACTGGCAAAATAACACCCTCACGAGAGGCGTAGGATTTTGTGTCATGTGTGGCACATTATTAGTCTGAAGCACACAGTCCAGCTTACTCTAGTTCTTTCTGGCATGGCCCAGATTTACTGCTGCAAATTCAACATCTGCAAAGTCATTCTTTTGTGCATTACTATTTTAACTGCTTCATACCAGAATGTTAGGCAAATAAGAAGTCAAGCTTTCTGTTCCCAATAAGTTTCAGTCCACCTATGTATTTCCACATTCAAGAAAAAAATAGTTTTTTAAAAACAAATCTGATATCACTGCACTTTGGTCCTTTTTTTTTAATATGACTATCACCTAGACGGCTTTCTGTTCCCAATAAGTTTCAGTCCACCTATGTATTTCCACATTCAAGAAAAAAATAGTTTTTTAAAAACAAATCTGTTATCACTGCACTTTGGTCCTTTTTTTTAATATGACCATCACCTAGACATTGCCTTTTGTGCAGGTAAGAAAAGAGGATTAAAAAGACAACTCTGAAATGCAAAGCATGAAAACAAATTGGTAAAGATGATTCATTTTCAATGACTGACCACAGCAGCTTGCTTTCCTCCCCACTCCTGACTCTCTGGCAGTTTGGTGGAACCTGCTGGGTCACCACAATTTCTGTGTCCTTGCTCTTCCATGACCTACAGAGAGTCAAGTATAGAGACCACTCAGGCTGGCTTGAGAGCACTGATGTTCATTTGGAATTGCCAGGCTGTGCAGGAGCTTAGCTGCATTCTGTCCTGACTATGTAATGAAAAGTAGTCAGGGATCTGAAGTCATGTCAGTACCAGCACATGAGGAGTTTGAGAGTTCTTCACACATTGTAAAGACATTTGGAAATTATAAAATGAAACTTTTTTGGTTTTACAGACTGGAAATTCTTTCAGAATTTTCTGCATGATAGATTTTAATATATTTGGGGATTTTTATTCCAACGACAAATAACACCAAATTCTGAAATTTTCTGTGAAATCGACTCATTGCACAGCTCTAGTTGCTTTCTTCAAAAACTCAAATCTCCTTCTTTATAAAGTATTTTGCTCAGTAGATTTTAATGAGATGTTTTTATACTAGACATTTCTACTAATTTTATTGTGTAATGTGGAGTGATTTATTTCAAAACAGAACATGGTGGTGCCCTTGTAGAATGTGTTCACCAACAAGGGGATTTAAAGAAGCATTTGCCACGCAGCAGATCTGATTGGCAGAGTAGCTGTGAGATGCTACAAAGTAATGGCAGAGTTCAAAGAAGATAAAACCCAACATAATGGTTCTGCTTTATGGAAAAGTGTTCCAGCCTGCATAATAGCCCAGGAAATTATTTTATTGGCATATTGTTTATCTTCAGAGGGGGCCATTCTTTTTTTATAGACATTCTGAGTGGAATGTATGTTATATAAAGAACAAGACAGTATCCAATGAAATGACATAGCCCTAAACCAGGAGCTGTGTGGGATTTGACCATGACAAAACTACATGGCATTCTGCACCAGAATGAATTTCACATTTTGTACTTTGGCTTTAGCATACTGCTTTCTCTGGAGAGCTCCATTCTGGTCTTTCTATCTCATGGGCAAATTGAGTTAGTGCACTATCTCTTCTCCTTTGCAGAATTTATTTGAAATTTAGAAAAGGTCAGATATGTAAATCTGTGTGATTTGTTTTATGAAACTACCTCTTTGTTTGGGAAAGTTCACTATAACTGTCCATCAGTGTTCAGGACTGTTAAAAGAATATGTATTTAGGAGCAATGATGTGAGCAGATTTTTGAAAATACGAAGATTAATTTTTCTGGGAACAATCTATTTAAGTAGAGGAACAGATATTTAAGAACTAGAGTAAGTTCTCATCCTTAGATAGTCTTATAACTCAGTGCAGAATACACAGTGTACTGGAAAAACTATGATAACTACTACATGGGCTGAATTGATGTTGATCCCAGTGTTCTGGAATTAAGGAATCTTACAAATCTTTTCTATCTGTGACTTTTGAGAACTGGCAAAGAATGGTTTTGGAGCTCAGGACTCAAGCCAGTATAATAAAATAGTCCTATATAGTAAAGCAGCTTTGTGCTGAGGGAAGATTTACTCTGTGCCAATCTACATGGCTTTCCCATTCCAAGTGTTATTAATCCTGTAATTTCAAAAGCAATGAAGTGTATTCAGAAAAACATAAAGAAAAGTGAAGATTTTTTTAGATTTCATATGTAACATCAACTAGAAACTAATTGGATTAAATATTGTAGTAAAAAAATACCACTGTTCCAGACTTTTTGTTTAGATTGTCCTTTTTCAATATGGTTTTCTATTCTGTTTAAGTACTCACATTGTATTTTTTTCTCATTAACTTATACAGTCCCAAAATTAAGAACTTTCATTCTTAGTCCTTTTCATGATTTTAAATCTTTAGTGCTAAGAACTGTATCCTGGAGATCCAAATAAAGTAGCTTATCTGGACAGCTATCTGATGGTGCTGTGTTTAGTTGAAACGCCAAATGAGTGTCTACAAGTCCGTATCTACAAGGGACAGAAACAGGGTTTGACACCTGCCTTGAAGAGACATCTTTTTGGAACGTAAGGACCTAAATATGCAGATGTCAGAGTTAAGTTCAAGTGTTTTAGTACCCACATATTTAAGTACTAGGCTTTTTTTCTGGCACATTTCCGGCCTTATTTCAGATGTGGAATACTTGTAAGGTGATGGCTGATAGAGGATTTCAGCAGCTTGTCAATTTTAAGTTTACCTTTAAGGCTTCTGCGGAACATCCTTCTCTTGTGACAGCACCAGTACCTTGGTAACACCTGCCTCTTTCCAGCTGATCACACCTGTTGGTGCTAAAGTGCATTAACAATCAACTAACAACCCTCCTCTGGTTCTTTTTCATCTCTGTTAGCACTGTGCATAATACATTATGATATACAATGTATTCCTTATTTAAATGAATTTAATTGAGTACCAAACCTATTTCTGGTCATATTACTTGATGATCCCTTTAACACCAGAAGGATACTTCTAAGAAAACTGTTTCACAGATATAGGTAACTTTTGTATAATATTGTCCCCAGTCTTGTGAGTGACGTGTATTTAAATTTTGTCCCAGAAGAGTAAGAAAGTTCATGTTCATATTGACTTTCTTTCTTTAAGTCTGTGAAAGAGAAAAGCTCTGAAAGAGTTGGCTTGGAAGTCTGACACTGGTAGCCAGAAAACATGGGGTCCTTACCACAGTGCTGGATGTAGGAGTACAACACAAATAATATCAAGCTAATTCCACAAGGGATAATACATGTTCAGGAAGTGGGGCTGATCACAAGAGGTTTCTAGCATGGATTCTGAAAGCAAGAGAGCCACCCTGATGCTACACCTGAGTTTATACATCCTCCATCTTGATGGTGGTAATTAATCAGGGACAGCACTGTGCTGATGATGCCATGCTGCACTGGTAGATGGAAGTGTGGTTGTAACTATGTCAGAAGTCACTGCACAAATGTTTGTCAAAGCCAAGACAAATATTAATATCACCAGAGTTATATACTCAAATTTTGCTAGCAAAAACTATAAAAATCACCATTCACACATATTCATCAGAGCTATACTACATAGATTGGCTAATAACTATTGAACATGTGAAATATCTAAGTTAAAAAGCAATGAATAAAAACTGTAAGAATTGGAGAATGTTGAATAAATTCAAAGAAATCATCAAATCATTATAAGAGATCTGCTTACGGGTATTTAGTAAATAATAATTTTCTAAGTTATTTGCTATGCATTGTTCATTCATCTTTAATAAGTATCTTACAGTATAAATGGTGTTTTTATTTCAGCTCCTAGAACATAAAACATCTATAGATGCTAGCTGAGAATTTTGCAAGTGTGTCTGAATGCCAAATCAACTGAGGTAAGTTGGAGTTTATGTCCCTGAACATATTGTACGATCAGTGGATAAGGCAGGGTTTAAATATAGATTGAAAACCACAGGCTATTAAGTATCTAGGAATATTTTACCTTATGGAGTTGAAGTCTACAACTAACAAAGAGGTAATATAAATACAGTGTAAAAAAAAATTGCTGGGTGGTCTCTGCCACATAGTGTATTGTGTGATGGAAAAGGCTGAGAGCTGTAAGAGAGATATTGGGACCAAACCTGACATACCGCATACATTAAACATCTTGCTACGTACTGTCTGAGAAACGTTTTTAAAGGAACTTGTGGGCTGGTTAACGAAAACTTTATGGCATTATAGGAAGCCCAAAATCTGGGATGAAAATGCTAGTGTTAGCCAAACTTTTAGGTGGAGCAAGTTTTCCAGAGTTACAAAATATTGTTTTTTTGTGTAGCCAAGGAAAGGATGCCATGTAAGTGGATCTCAGCCCATTTGGATAGCCTCTGAAAATGCACAAATGTACTTTTTCATTTGTTCTCATTAACAAGGCTGAACTGAAAAGAGCTGCATGCAGTGCTGAAAGCTATGGCTAAGTAGACTTTAAATCGTAGGGAAAATGCAGGAGAAAATACACAGTGGAAAGACGGGAAGCGCTATGAAACAAAACTAGTGTAAGATTTGTTTCAGGTACTTTTATTTTGAATCGAGGCCCTGATGGCACCAGCAGGCCCCAGCGGCCTCAGGGCTCCCTGGCACTGGCCAGCCCCAGCCCAGCCCCAGCCCAGCCCCAGCCCAGCCCAGCCCAGCCCAGCCCCAGCCCAGCCCAGCCCAGCCCAGCCCAGCCCCAGCCCAGCCCTGGCAGCCCCAGCCCAGCCCAGCCCAGCCCTGCCAGCCCAGCCCTGTGTCTCAGTAGGTGCCCGCAGTTCCCTGCTTGCCAGGCCAGGCCCTGCCAGCCATGGGGCCGCCAGGCTGCCGTCCCGTGCAGCCTTGGCAGGAGTGCTGGGATTGTAGCATTGGTGTAGGTCAGGCCATGGAATGGTGTCTGTTTCTTCCTCATCTTCTTGAGTAACCATGCTGGCTCAGACCAGAGCTCCAAGCTCTTGCAGTCACAGCCTCTCTGTGACAAGGAAAGATGTACTGTGCAAACAGCTCTGCTTCTCCACTAGGACTGACACAGAGGCCTTGGAGGTAAAACACAGACTTCAGCTAATTTCTAAGGCATTTGAATCAAGCCCCTCAACTACATATGTTATGTTTTCCCATTCTCTCTGCTCACTTCAGTCTTAGAATTGCCACTCATAAGCACCGTAATTACCACAGCATTAAATGCTGAAGGGAAGCAATGGAGAAGGGTTACACAGTGAATGCAAGGAGTTGTACTGTGCTGCCTCATTCCTGCTCCTTTGTCTTTGATTAATGGGACAATAAACACCCATGAGAACTGCTAGGGAGACCTCAAAAGATGTGGACAGATGCTTGTCTTATGGCTCTTCAAAGGGCATTCACTACCTTAAGTATTCTATGATTGTAATTTTCATTGAGGTTTGGTGGCTCTGTTCCATTTGTATGGGTATCCAATTACAACTCAAATATTTGCACTTGACAGCAGTTTTAGACTACATAGTTAAATGAAAAATGAACCAAATGCAGTACATACTTTAATAACAATCAGTCTTAAGAGAATTTTTTGAGGAACAGCTTCTGACCCACCAGGATTATTAAACATCCTGTAGCATTTTTTGTAAGATTAGTCACAGTGTCTTTCTGAAACTCAATTTATATTATTACATTCTGCCTCCATAAATCACCCTGCGGTATCAACTGAATATAGTATTCTTCTGTCTCATATTGTTGTAGAAAGTTAAAAAGCTGTCATGTTCCACCTCAGAAATGGATCCACAGTGCTAGAATGTAATGCAGTTCTGTTACAAGATTTGGAACTTTTTGTTATTTTACAATCCAGTACATTTGCAAGAGAATCCATTATTTTTCTCAGTGCTTCTTGGTGTCCTCACCTATCAATGAATGTAGAAATAATAAGTATCAGTATTTTGAAAAGACACTAATTTCTAAAGATTTTTCCCTAGACCAAACACAAAAGAAAGAAAACTATACATTTCAATTTGCACCAGCAGAGAACAAAATTTCTAGTTTTTCAAATGTGGTTATTTACTTAATGCATTTTGTTTCTTGGCAGGTCTTGCAGATGATGCAATAAATGTCATTCCTTCCTTTTACTCAGCATCAAGTGATCAGATCATTCTCCTCCTTTATTCTTTTCTTTTGACTGAGAGGAAAGCCAGCAGCTTTGCTCCTCTTGATTATTAAATATCTCATATAGTTGCCAGAATGGGGATATAAACCTACTGCTCCATCCAGATTCAAGTGTGAATAATTACATTCTGCCTACCTGAATTCCCACAATGATTTCATTTGGGTACAGTATATTTCTTCATTTCCTGCTCTTGGGCCTGTTTTGGCATCTATTGAAGTTAATGGAAAGTTCTCAAAGACTCTGGTGAAAGAAAATGTCCATAAACTATGGGGTAATTCTGTTGTGGTATTAAACAGCTTGAGTAGACATAAGTAGAGTTGTTTCTTATAGATTGCTTGTACTGCCTGTCTTTACCAGTTTGGAAAACTCTTCCCATTTCATCAAGGCTATGTGCTTATTCAAAATATAAAAAATGGCAATGAATGTATTTTTAAGGTATTCTGTTGTAGACAACTTATATATGCTAAATTTACAGATATATATGGTTGATCCTCACACCACTGACTTTTATGAAGGCCTTTCTTTGGACTTTAGTGAGGATATCTAGGTAATATCTTAAGAGTAATAGACGATAGTAGCATTCCTATGCATAGAAATTCTGTTTTTTCAGACATCTATGGATGTCTGGGGGGAAAAAAAAGAAATAGAAAAGCTGTTCAAAAGTTGAATTAAAATCTTTTGAACCTCGGATTGAACAATACTCTGCACCAAGACATGCATGCAGTTGCAAGTAATTGCTGCTTTCATAGCAAAACTTTGAATTTTTCCAAAATATATTTTTCTTTTTCTAGAGCTACAAAGTACAGGTGTTGAATCCTTCTCAATTGTCTCTAGGAAATTCTTCAGAGGATAAAAAGAGAGCAACTCAAAATAGAGGCAGACCAAATTGTAAAATTAATTCAGACCTGAGCTTTCCTAATTCTTTAGCAGGTCCATCTTTGACCAGAATTTATTTTATTTAGGTTTCTAATAAAGTGAGGGTCACATCTATTGATCCTAGATTACTCCAGGCTGGAATATATTTGATGCTGTTGTTCTCCCCTTCTTTTCTCTCAATGCTTTATAAGTTATTCCATTCACTCTCATTCTTGGGAATTTTGGTCATATTCTGTGAGCTGGGGCAGGACACAGGCCATCTCTTTATTCCTCCCAAGTCTGTATCATGTACTTTTAACCTTGGCCTGAGCTATTGGCATGAAAATTGCCTGTATTCTAAATATGCAACATTCCTTTTCTCTGGCCTTAGACAAAACTGGGAGGAGGGCTGATGTCAGTGGTGACAGCATCACACCATTTCTCAGAAACCAGCAGAGGAATTCTGTGATGAAGAGCATTGAAGATAATCTCAACAATTCAGTGTTGTGATTCTTACTGTGGAGTGGGAGGTCATCTTAATTCAAGAGCTAAACCAACATACAGCATTTCTAATAATTCAAAAATCCTCTAAGTCAGAAGTGTGGTACAGCTAAGCAAAGACCCTTCAGACAAGAAAGATGCTTTTATTTTATTTAATTTTCAAATGTTTTTGCAGCTTGCTAGCTTCATAACCCAGGGCAAGTTTAATTAAAGTCAATGAAGCAGTTTAAAGTGAAGAAGAAATCAGCATTAGAAAAAGTGTTGATTGTTTTCTAATTGTGCCATGGACTATCTCTGTAATGGATTCTTGCCTCCTTAACTGTAGATAAAGCCTGATATTCAATGTAGACAGGAGACCTGGGAAACTCCTTACTAAAATTTCCTTACTAGTTGCTTATGTGGTTATCTTAGCATCTTTGTGACATGATTGATTTCATTGTTTTTGGTCAGCTGTTGGACTAGGTGGATATTATCTTCTGAAGATTGTAATAACAGAATAGTGTACCATACAGGAATGTTTTGCATGTGCAGTTTGAAAATCTCTTAGTTTATTAATCCTTTATTCAGAAAGTGTGCCTGTATGATACAGTTTGTGTCCAGATTCAGCCTGAATTCAGTCATTTGAGTGAATATGAGAATAATAGTAATTTTGAATGTTGCCTTGAACGTACACACGGTGTCAGGAGGATTTGGTCAGTAGGACATGGCTGGACAATTTGCTTGCAATACAAGTGGCATCCCTGTTACTATCGGTGGGTAAGGATCTGCCAGTTGCATATTCCCTCCAGTTGCCCAGGGAAGCTGTGGATGCCCCATCCCTGGCAGTGTTCAAGGCCAGGTTGGATGGGTCTCTGGGTAACCTGGTCTAGTGAAAGGTCCCTGGCCATGGCAGGAGGTTGGAACTAAGCACATGATCTTTAAGATCTATTCCAACCCAAACCATGTGATGATTCTATGATTCCTTCCCAACATTTACTGACTTGATCCAGTCAATGGACAGTCTGCATTCCCCACATTTCTACTCTAGAGAGAACAAGATCAAAATTCTGTTAGATTGTCAACTCTCTGTCTTTCTCTCAATATTTTAATCTGGAAGATGTCTGTTTAAAGCAGAATAGATTCCACAAAATTACTACAACAGGGACAGTATCGCGGCTGACTTACTTGGTGCTTGGACTGAATAATCCCTTTCAAGACAATGAATGTGTGTGCCATCAGCCAACTCTGACAGAGGATGCTGGTTAACATTAATTTTGTTGCTGGTGGTTTTATGAAGCAAAATTCTGACTGCCGAGAATTAGACTAAACTAAATGAGCTTGGTTTGGACAGACCACTGGAGGAGTTGCAATGGTCCTTTGCAATGATTGGAGCTTGACTTAAAA